TTTTTAGGTTTCCATTTAGTGCACTTTGACATTCCTCTGCTTCTGTGCTTTTAAATGCTGCCGATGCTCCTCCCATTTGATTTTCTGCTTTCAATCTCTCAAATGGCACATTTTGTTGTTGTTCTTTCATTGCTTCCAACCTACTACAAGAAGCTTCGTGTTGTGCTTTCTTATCTCAACGATAGAAGGTTTTAATACAGGTAGTGCATTGAAACTCCTTTCTTTGAGCATGTATTTTCATGTGTCGTTTAAGACTGTCCATCCTACTAAACACTTTGTTGCATCTCAACCATGACAACCCTCTGGCAACACTCACCGGTACTTGCAATGTTTGCTGTTTGTCAACTATATGTTCCAGAAACGCTCCATTTCTTGACAACAAACAGGATGACAGCGAGAAATTTCCTCTCATTCTGCAATGGACAACTCTTTGGTATACATCTTAAGTCAAGATATGAGTAAAATAAAATTTCTTTCCAGATTTTATGGCTTATCATTTTCTCAAATGACATCATAATTTAAATTTAGGGACACCTTTCCTTAAAGAACGTTACTATTTTTAGAAGTGATACGATTTTTAGGTTTCACGTGATGTAATTTCAATTGGCTTATAAGGTTAGCAAAAACTTAAAAATGCCCAATTCAGCACATTTAGTCTATGACATTAGTATTATATTTACATTCTATTGTTCTACATCATGTAATTTATTTAGCATATGATAGAGTTTACAAATTTAGAATCGCATTGTTTTAAGGGGCTATAAAAGCACAAGTAATATTGGCTTAACGTGATTTCACCAAGCAAAAAGCTTCAAGATGACATGTTTCAAATTAGAGACCGTGAGACCAAGATATCTGTTACTGCCTGAAAAGGAACTGTAAAGGTTCATTTGAGAAAGTTTTTCCAAAGCAGCTTCGATCAAAGAAAATTTTACCCTTCTAAGCAAGGAATAGCTCTAACACTTGAAGAATGGGAAGATCTCAAGAAAGTGATATCAGATGTTGATCAAGTGATTGATTGCACACAGTTTATAATAGAGGAGAAACAAGATGATCAGAGGGTGAGTTTTGAGAGACAGGTTGTAGTAAATGAAGAGGAGAACATGAACGAGCTTCGATCATTTAGCGATACAGTTGTCGTGAGATCGTACGATTTAACACCATGCAACCAGAAGTAAAGAAAGTTAAATTGTCGCCTCCAGAGAACTTTGACTGCAATGCGAATTTCGCCTTTTAACTTCAAGAAGAAGCATTATTAGAGGAAAGGAACAAACTTGGACGAGCACATGTAGAACATTACGAGAATACGGATGCAAACGTTGCATTTGAATTTCAAGAGTAACTTGGTCGAAAAGTTTTAGTTTAGAATTTTGAATTTACATTACAATTTCAGTGGTAATAAAGTTAGTTCAACGAATGATTATGAGTGTTGAGTTCAGTATTAAGTTATAAATGTTGAAAATACATTGGCCGGGAAAATTTAGCATATTTTGGAGGGAAACAAACTTAGGGGTATTTAGGGATTTTTTTTCAGGTTTTTTTAAAAAATTTTTTATATATATAGATTCACCACATATCCAATTACAACCTTGTTACAGGAAATGCGCTTACTAAATGTCTACCCTGTTTTGTTAATATCACAAGCACAACCTTACAATTCGTCCTGATACCCGTGATGACCAATGTAAAACGGAAATTCTTTTTGTAAATTATCCTGTCCTTAAATTCCCGATGGGGTTTAATCACATCAGGGATATCGGTAGTTTTATCAATTAGGTCGCGAGTTCGATTCTCGCCCGGGGCACGAAAATTTTCGTTGCCCCGGGCGAGCATGGTTTCTTCTTCTTCCAAGTGTAAATGTTCACTGGAAGTGTAAGTGTGCTGCTCACTAGTACATCACTAAAAATTACTTTAATGANTTAAAGTGCATATGACACCAAATTTTTTTCCCTTGTTTTTCGTAGTTTGATATGTGTATAAAACGACTTTGGTCTTCAAAAGCGCTTAAAATTTCTTTAAAGCCATATTTTTTGACTTAAAAATGGCTCTATTTTGCTTAAAATTAGTCCCGGAGATTGGGGACTAGTTTAGCTTGATCGTGACGTCATGTGACGTAATATTGTGTACCTTTGCGGCCGTCTCATTACCTTGCTGCATCAGAATGTCGACCGATGTGAGCGATTCTTCGATGTCAGACTCATCGCAAAGCTGCCACGAGCCAAGTGAAGCCTCAGAAGAAGAACTTGAAGTTGTTACCGAGTTTCAGCCGTACTCGGATGAACCTCTTGCAGATGGCGACGCAGACTATGTCGGCGAAGACGAAGCCGATCAAGATGGCTTGACACCAGAAATCTTGGAAGCAAGATATGAACGCCGACTGACAGTTCATGAATGGTAAGTTTTTGTCCTTTTAGGTGCAGGGAAATCACCTTTTTACTTTATGGCGTTTATGAATTTTGTCTTTTCGCCTATGTTTTAGGTGTAAATGTAAATATTGTAGCGAAGAAAACCTCGCAGACGCACTCGAGTTTCGCTGTTGCCACGAGGTAACTAATGCAGTTGGAAAGCTTGTGTTTGATGGCTCCATTGAAAGAATCTCATGTGTTACCGAGCACGAAGATTATGTGGCTCTAACGAACAGAACCGTCCTTTTACAAGTCGCCCCTTTGCTCAAGGACAGAAACGGAAGGTCATACCGGCGAAGAACAGGAGTGAGCGAAGCCGAGTAAGTAATTTTTTGCCCTATAGCTCAACGGTCCCCTAAAAGTGACGGTAGCCGAAAGTAACTACCCCACAGCTTGTGGTTAAATAGACACAGATCGATACTGTTGCAACCCCTTTTTTAATGGAAGTTATGTGATTTTTTAGAAAAATTCTTTTTTCCTGAATTTTGCCATATGCAGTGAGTGTAGCTTATCTAACATTGAGTGCTCTTGATGGATTGTTTACTGACGTATGTTCAGCTATAGTGTTGAAGTTGCTTTATACATCTTTATGGTTTGACAAGGGTACAGTTTTTATTTTTTTCAAAAAGGGTTTCGGGTACTCACTGTAAGTAGCTTGTAACCCTGATATTTGTCTAACTTCAACTTTTATTAATTCTACCTGATTGTTCAATAGATTTCTCAGAGCAGTGGCTTACAGGTGGCTGATAAGATGGCTATGTGGATACTTGGGCTGGGATAACAGCAGACCATTACCTGCCTGTGTATACCACTATTTAAGAACAAAGTTTTCAAGTCACCAGACAAGAGGATATGTGCCTTCCCAAGCACGTGAACAATAATAACACTTTTCACAATAGTTTGAGTTCAAGTAATGTTACTTCATTTGATTAATTTCTGACGTTCAAATACCATTGTATCTGTTATTACACCCTGAAATAGTCAATAATTTATCAATAACTTTCTTTAGACATGATGTGGTAGAGAAATCATTGATTGTCACCCTCTTACATCAAAACTTAACAAAAAAATGTTTCATAGTGTATAATCGCCCCCTTATTTGTGCGAAAAAGATAATAATCGCCCAGGCTATTCTTTGAGGAAATACGGTATCATACTTATACATATGTGAGTAGCAATGAGACCATAACTCTACAAAACACAACATGAAAGTGGAAAATGTCCCTTGAATGTTAAGGAACCAGAAGTTAATGAAAAAGTCATAGAGGAGAGAAAAACATCTATTCTGCCATGTGTTGTTGGCATTTTTCCCGAGTGTGTCCTCGCATTGGCTGCTTGCACTTGCGGCATCTCCTTGTTTTTCTTGTACTTGAATGGGAAGGCTGAGATTCTTGGACTGTTCTTTCCATGGCACTTTGTTCTTCCCCTACAATCAAAAAAGAGACTTTGCATATATGGTCTAATTAAAACCAAACCCCAGCATTCCTCCCCCTCTCTCTGCAATCAATTGACCATATTGTGAATGTCCAATGTAAAAGATGTGGACTTGGCAAGACACGCCTGAGACACCCCTCCCTTCCTTTTGATAGTCTCCCCTACCCCACCCGTACAATCCGTAGACGCGTACGTACGTAGGTACGCTCGGTCAATCACATGACAACCAAAGGAAAAAAGGTTGACCATAATCTATGGGTATGGGGCTCTGTCCCACGTGCGCGAAGCGCGCGTGGGAGCCCCGCTACTAGACCATTAACTTCTCGTGCAAATTCCCCTTGTATGGCATTTGCTATCTTGTTCCTAACAAGTTGAGCTTCAAGTTCAATCTCGTCTATTACAAGGTTCCTACTTTTGTTTGAGATACACATGATTTCGAGATAGCAAAACAAACGTGTCTTCTATCTGTCTCTGTTCAAGATACTAGTATATTCCTAAAAATTCACCTCTTTTATTCTGAAAAATCTATCAATCACTATGGTTAAAAATAATTCTATTACATCATGCTACCTATTTTTGAATGATGACGTTAACACCACTCTAGCACCCCTCCCAGCAATGATGTCATTCTACTATTTTTAGATTATAATCTCAACGTTTTTTGATGACGTCAACTCTAGGAAATTCTGACGTCACTTACTCCTTGCCAGCTACAAATAAACTGACATCATCCTATCTTAATGGAATGCATGACGTCATTGACATTAATTTAAACTATGACATTATCCTATCTTAATTTAAACTGACATCATCCGATCTTAATTAGATGCATGACGTCATCTGCGTTAATTTATACCACTCAAAAAGTTGATTAATCCACAAAAAACCGGCGTAACGGGTGCCTCCCCCACCACTGCTCTTAAAGTGCATATGACACCAAATTTTTTTCCCTTGTTTTTCGTAGTTTGATATGTGTATAAAACGACTTTGGTCTTCAAAAGCGCTTAAAATTTCTTTAAAGCCATATTTTTTGACTTAAAAATGGCTCTATTTTGCTTAAAATTAGTCCCGGAGATTGGGGACTAGTTTAGCTTGATCGTGACGTCATGTGACGTAATATTGTGTACCTTTGCGGCCGTCTCATTACCTTGCTGCATCAGAATGTCGACCGATGTGAGCGATTCTTCGATGTCAGACTCATCGCAAAGCTGCCACGAGCCAAGTGAAGCCTCAGAAGAAGAACTTGAAGTTGTTACCGAGTTTCAGCCGTACTCGGATGAACCTCTTGCAGATGGCGACGCAGACTATGTCGGCGAAGACGAAGCCGATCAAGATGGCTTGACACCAGAAATCTTGGAAGCAAGATATGAACGCCGACTGACAGTTCATGAATGGTAAGTTTTTGTCCTTTTAGGTGCAGGGAAATCACCTTTTTACTTTATGGCGTTTATGAATTTTGTCTTTTCGCCTATGTTTTAGGTGTAAATGTAAATATTGTAGCGAAGAAAACCTCGCAGACGCACTCGAGTTTCGCTGTTGCCACGAGGTAACTAATGCAGTTGGAAAGCTTGTGTTTGATGGCTCCATTGAAAGAATCTCATGTGTTACCGAGCACGAAGATTATGTGGCTCTAACGAACAGAACCGTCCTTTTACAAGTCGCCCCTTTGCTCAAGGACAGAAACGGAAGGTCATACCGGCGAAGAACAGGAGTGAGCGAAGCCGAGTAAGTAATTTTTTGCCCTATAGCTCAACGGTCCCCTAAAAGTGACGGTAGCCGAAAGTAACTACCCCACAGCTTGTGGTTAAATAGACACAGATCGATACTGTTGCAACCCCTTTTTTAATGGAAGTTATGTGATTTTTTAGAAAAATTCTTTTTTCCTGAATTTTGCCATATGCAGTGAGTGTAGCTTATCTAACATTGAGTGCTCTTGATGGATTGTTTACTGACGTATGTTCAGCTATAGTGTTGAAGTTGCTTTATACATCTTTATGGTTTGACAAGGGTACAGTTTTTATTTTTTTCAAAAAGGGTTTCGGGTACTCACTGTAAGTAGCTTGTAACCCTGATATTTGTCTAACTTCAACTTTTATTAATTCTACCTGATTGTTCAATAGATTTCTCAGAGCAGTGGCTTACAGGTGGCTGATAAGATGGCTATGTGGATACTTGGGCTGGGATAACAGCAGACCATTACCTGCCTGTGTATACCACTATTTAAGAACAAAGTTTTCAAGTCACCAGACAAGAGGATATGTGCCTTCCCAAGCACGTGAACAATAATAACACTTTTCACAATAGTTTGAGTTCAAGTAATGTTACTTCATTTGATTAATTTCTGACGTTCAAATACCATTGTATCTGTTATTACACCCTGAAATAGTCAATAATTTATCAATAACTTTCTTTAGACATGATGTGGTAGAGAAATCATTGATTGTCACCCTCTTACATCAAAACTTAACAAAAAAATGTTTCATAGTGTATAATCGCCCCCTTATTTGTGCGAAAAAGATAATAATCGCCCAGGCTATTCTTTGAGGAAATACGGTATCATACTTATACATATGTGAGTAGCAATGAGACCATAACTCTACAAAACACAACATGAAAGTGGAAAATGTCCCTTGAATGTTAAGGAACCAGAAGTTAATGAAAAAGTCATAGAGGAGAGAAAAACATCTATTCTGCCATGTGTTGTTGGCATTTTTCCCGAGTGTGTCCTCGCATTGGCTGCTTGCACTTGCGGCATCTCCTTGTTTTTCTTGTACTTGAATGGGAAGGCTGAGATTCTTGGACTGTTCTTTCCATGGCACTTTGTTCTTCCCCTACAATCAAAAAAGAGACTTTGCATATATGGTCTAATTAAAACCAAACCCCAGCATTCCTCCCCCTCTCTCTGCAAAGAAAAAGACAGTACTACCTTGCATCACACAGAGACCATGCATATACATTTAAAAGTATTTACCAGTTATTACTTTCAACTGAATACACCCGCACAAAGTTGAGCAAGTTGAGAACAGTACAAGTAGGCATGTGTCATTTTCAAAGTTACTGTACTTGGAATTTCAATAGGTGGTAAACAAAAACCAAAGTATTAAAAAGAGTTTAAAGCAAGAGGTGTGAGGAGGTACATGCATGTATGACATAATAATAATAATACGATACAATAGCAATGGAAAGGATTATGAGGCAGATGTGCATAAACACTATCCAATTCACCATTTTCACATGGCCATAAGGCTCCTTTGCAATAACCATTGTCTTCACTTTCTCTTGGAAATACCCAGGACATGCAACATTGGTTATGCAGCATTTTGGGGGGTAGACAAGGTGAATTAAGGTCTATTTGAAAATGATGAATGAACAAAACAAACAGTTTGCAAGAACTTTACCGGTTGGGAAGAGGGCAGTCTTGTCCTTTTGTCTCCTTTCTTCATATGCCTTTATTGCATCAGCCTTGGTAACCCGGTCTTCAAACACTGAAGTCAGGGATTTTGGAGCTTTTGAGGAATACCTTGTAAATGTCTCTCTCATCAGTTCTTGGCAAAGTAAACAGCAACTTTCTCATCTCCCTGACATAATCTGAATTGCAAAATCAACAAGATTACTTTTGAGCTAAGATAATGTTTAAATGAAACTACACAGCACTTTCAATTATTTTTGAGCATTTCAATTCATTGGATTGACGCAAACAATTACAATACATGTAAGTGTATATGCATTATTAACAGGACAGCAAGTAAATTGAAAGTAAGAAGGTGGTGCAACTTTTTTCAAAACAAAATCCGGTTTGTGTAAATGGTATACATGTACATAAAATGTACTTACCATATGAAGGAGGTGTTTTCACATCACGGACTACTTCCTCCCCAAGTTTATATTTNACATTGGTTATGCAGCATTTTGGGGGGTAGACAAGGTGAATTAAGGTCTATTTGAAAATGATGAATGAACAAAACAAACAGTTTGCAAGAACTTTACCGGTTGGGAAGAGGGCAGTCTTGTCCTTTTGTCTCCTTTCTTCATATGCCTTTATTGCATCAGCCTTGGTAACCCGGTCTTCAAACACTGAAGTCAGGGATTTTGGAGCTTTTGAGGAATACCTTGTAAATGTCTCTCTCATCAGTTCTTGGCAAAGTAAACAGCAACTTTCTCATCTCCCTGACATAATCTGAATTGCAAAATCAACAAGATTACTTTTGAGCTAAGATAATGTTTAAATGAAACTACACAGCACTTTCAATTATTTTTGAGCATTTCAATTCATTGGATTGACGCAAACAATTACAATACATGTAAGTGTATATGCATTATTAACAGGACAGCAAGTAAATTGAAAGTAAGAAGGTGGTGCAACTTTTTTCAAAACAAAATCCGGTTTGTGTAAATGGTATACATGTACATAAAATGTACTTACCATATGAAGGAGGTGTTTTCACATCACGGACTACTTCCTCCCCAAGTTTATATTTTGGGTAGGACACTTTAATATACTCAAGTCCATTTTTCCCAACTTGTGTTGCGCGTTGAACATTTTCATTAAAATGTAGGCTTGCTAAGACGTGCCTAAAATGTGAATATTGAAAAACAAAAAAAATCAAATCAACTTCTAATAATGGAACAAATACCTCCTCAGGATAAAGCAATCAATAACAGCAGATGTCGACAGTCAATCCATATCCTTGTCAGGCTAGCAAACTGGCTTGCTTGTTACAACACATTTCACAATCTATTAGGTTAACCTGTTGTGATCCCGTTTCTTACAAGGAAAAGAGAGCATGCAATCTGAGCACAGCTTATTATTGCATACATGTAGCAGATATTGTATTTTATCTAAGGTGATCTGGTTTGCAGATCCCAGGGAAATATTAGAAAGCCTGGTGGGTAGTATACAGCAATGACTGAGTGAAGGGAAGTTGCTTTGCAATTATTTTCCAAAACGAAATATCAAATGTGTTGTTAACTAATATTATGACATAACTAACTCTTTACCTGCAGTAGGTTCCTAGCCAGGAAAAGCAAATCATTTTGGGGTGCCAATGGTTAAGGGTGGAATGAAATCCCTCCAAGCAGCTGGTCTGTGCATCAGAAGATAACTTCTTTATATCATTTACCAGTGTCTTGTTGGTCAACAAACCATGAAGCTTCTGATATGCTGCTGTTCCTATTGTCCAACAAACAAAACTAAAAAGTTAACTAGATAAAACACCACTAGCAACCAAGTAAGGAATGCTAGATTTATTTTGCTTTGTTTTGTATGAAACAAACCTGGGCCCGGTTCCTCGAAAGATGGTTGAGTTTAACCCAGGATTAGGCCAAATTTCAAGCAAGGGTTTCTAGTCTAAGAACATGCAACTCGAGGTTACAACATACTGTTGAGCCTTTACTACAAGATACACTTATGATAACACAAAATGTTACCCTAAGCAATGCACAGGAATGTAAAATACAAACACCGAACAACATTTTAATCCTGGATTAACCCTGATCGACCTTTCAGGAACCGGGCCCTGTATTACAGTACACAACTATAGAGATGTTAACTTATATCATCCTTTACAATAACATATTCGATCAAGGTCACTTTTTGTTTCATTAGTCCCCAAGTATTTATTTTATTTTACAAATAGAACAAAATACTCACCAACTTTAATCCACTTCCTCGGTTCTAAATCCCCGTGATTACATTCTTTGTACAGAGGATCTGGATGATCTTTATGCTTGTTGGCCACATGACGCATAAAGGAATTCCACTTAGCAACTATGAGTGCTCCAAATCCCTGCTTTGTAGAGGTAGCACACCAATACAGGTGCTTTCGTATGCCTCTTATCCAGTGAGCTATTATTTCGCAGCCTTTCTCTGTGCTTGCCTTCAGGAGCTTTTTCGTAATAGACCTTGCAACATGCCAGATGTCAAAAAAATGGTACGTATCCACACATGATTCACGGATCCACTTTGCTATACTTCTGTGGCGGTCTGAAATAAACACTCCAATTGTAAGCCCAAGACCCTTCAGAAAGGCAAAGCACCTCTGACACCCTTCTAATTCAGTTTGCTGGCTGCCTCCGGTCTCATTGGCCTGGGGAAACACAAAGTGAAAAATAAATTGTTATGAGAATGCAGTGTGAAACTAAGCCTGCAAGAGTCAATCGCCTATACAAACTTTCATTCACCCTCAGAGAGAAAGACCTAGAGTGTGAATCGAAAGTTGGAAAGGCATCTGCTCTGGTGGATAAGGTAAATGTCCAAAAAACCTTGCCAATCTGTTGGTGTCTCCCTATCACTGCAGACTAAATCATTCATACCTGTATAATTTCAAAATGGACAATCTTCATAATGCTGTTGCAAAGCATTGTGTATGCTCCGTACTTTGCAGAATGACCCATTGAGTCGAAACGGCCATCTCCTGTCCACACTACATCCTTCATTGTTTTCAGTTTACTGACAAGGTTGGTCCTGTACTGCTCCCAGTAATGAAGGATTACAGGAAAGATAAAGCTCCTTTGATGTCTAAAATAAGTTCTAGCAGCATACACACAGAGACCCATGTGTCTAAATATTAGCAAAACTTTGCTAACAGACGCACCAGCCATTAGAATGGCAAAACTTAAAAGCAAATTGCCCAGTGGCAATTTTCCATACACGGTAGGCTGGGACTGCCATACAAATATTTTTCTGCACTTTAGGCAGTGTTGTGTAACCGTTACCATGGTTCCGAAACTTTTCATCGTAGCTGAGGGCCCAGCCTCCTTGCAATTAAAGCAAAACATGGTAAACAGGCTTAAAAGCTTCCAGTAGAACACAATGAACTTTGGTTGTTCATACTCAGGCATTTGAGGATCAACACTACGAACGTAAATAGAACAAAGTATTAGTCACTGATATTATTGCAACTGGGTACAAACAAACAAGTCTAGCCATTTTTTCTGAAAATACAATGATTTCCCTTGTGCATTAAAAGGTGTCCCAGGACTCAAGGCGTGAGCAAATCAACCGAATGAATTAAAGAAGGGTCGGGACATCAGTTTGGTTACTTATACAAGATCTTTAAATTTGTAGTAAGGAACTACATGCATCTGATCACTAATTTCAGTTTTCATTCATACAACGTCTACAAAGAGTGTCGTGGTTGATTAGAAGTGTTAATGTATATTCCACTGTACAAATATAATTTTTTAGCTACTATGATGGCATAAAGTTTATAATAATTACATTATTTCATTAGCATGCTCTTCTGGATCTTCCTCTCCATTGCTCTCACTTTCAGTGCTTTCCTCCATNGGCTCGCATTTCATCTAATGGAGAAAAACTGCCAGTCAGTGAATGAATGATACAAACAGACAACTGAAATGGAAACGTATTTCTTACTATTCCAACGAAAGACACCATGTAAATGAAGTCAATAATGCAATATTATATATCTAATATTATTTTCCTTTTTTATTCCATTCGATACTTGAACGCAGTAAAATATACCCGCCGACTTTCAACAGAATACCCGCCGGAGCTCCGGCGGGTGCCGGGTCTTATTGAAAGCACTGAGTTGTAATGTATATTTTAACAATTCAAGTCACCTTGTGATTCCGGTACACCTAAATAAGTACCCAATACACTCAGATGGGGAAACATGGTGAAAAGAAATTTTTAAAAATTCTTATGTATCAACTCACAGTTTTCAGCAATTTAATGTCTTGCTTGAGTTCGTTCACTTTTCTCTTCAAACAACGATTACTTTTCTTCAGACTCCTGTTAGTTCTGCTCTTTTCCGCACATTTCTTACAACCACTGACTGGTGTTGACGTTACCCACGTGGAGCTGCAGACCGCGGTAGCTTGAGTAGTTGTTGTGAAATTTGTTGTGACGGTGGGATTCACTTGTTCCAGTGATGGACAACCGGGTGAAATTGCAAAACTGGAGAAGGTAGAAAAGGAATCATCATGGATCGTTTCGGTAGATCTGGGACCAGGAGTCTCGACATGACAAACACTGGGTGATTCGGTGTGATCCTGATCTGACAGAGGTTCTGGTGGCGACCGTTCAGCGGACGATGGGGTTGCAACAGATTGCTGTGACAAAGAAGCCGTCTTCTGTCGCTTTTTAGCCGGCTGCACGGTTTGTTCATTCAGTTGTAAGCCACGCTTCAGCTAGAACCAAATTAAACAAAACAAATATCAACTAACTTTCCTTTGGCCGATTGTTGTTGAATAGAGATGGGAAAGGTGCTCACTTCTTACCTGGCGTTTGTCTCGTTCCGTCAGAACTTCAGGTCCTGGAGGTTTGATTGTGTCTCTCGTAGGGACAGAACCCCTTTGGAGGACCTGTTTCAACTTCAGATGGTTGGTGTCTTTATGCTGGATTGTCGTAAAACAGCTCCTCTCGAAGTGTGCTGAGCATAGAACAGCGTACTGATTTACCGGCTCATCGAAGTCTGAGCGGTGTCGTTGCACAAATCTGACCCACAGAGCCCTAGTTTTCTCGTTTTTCGGAAACTGGTGCATGCTTATACCAGGAGTGCGCGAATTATTTCCACAAGTGGTACTATTAGGTGCGCCAGCAACACATCTTCGACCTCCTCTCTTCTTTTTCTCCTTCTCCGCCATATTTGTATG